TGATTTCAATGAAATCATTTTATTAGAATTCTTAGTTTATGTAAATTACTTTCCTGCCTTGTGTATTCAGTTATTTTTGATCAGTAGTTTGTCGAATTGTTACAAATCGGATACTTCGAGTCCCTTGTCATTCAAATGGTAGATAAGTGCCTTCGTTTCGTCTTACTCCATTTGTATAAACTGCTATTATGGTATCTGATCACAACGTGAAAATACCGCACAAATGAAATTACCAATTTAATTAGCAAATAGTTTGATGTCAATGTTAATTGAGGTTTACATTCATAAACGACTTCCCGAAACATAAGCGGGTGTGTATGACATCTGAGTGAGAACTGAGAGATTTCTAAATTTGTCAGTTTATTTATCTTAATAATACTGTCCGAAAATTTTCAGCTATCAACTATAATTGTAGAAATGTGTTTCCGATAACTTGAAATATATTCAAGTGGGTTTTGTAAACGTTAGCTTATTTTATAATGACGAAAGTGTCAGAGTTGTACGCTTTAATACATTGAGCTTGAGGTGGTATACCACACAGACTGCGCTACTGAGCGGTATTCCTTGTAGATTGAGATCAACCAATCAACAGGATATGTGGTTTCGATTTTTGTTTCAGTTCATCGACTTAAGTCTTGAGCAATCATCATCTCTACAAATCCTAATAGCTTTTTGGTAACAAATATTCTTTTACGAGTTATTCATCAGGAAAGGAGTAAATGCTCAATGTACGATGAATTTCAAGCTTCTGGCCATTGTCCAATCAAATACGGTTGATGACGGAGCCCTGTTTCGACGATGTACATGTAATTATCTTGAACCTACTTAACTGATGACTAATGTACAAGAACAGCCAGAGACAGACGGATGAAATTTGAATATTTTCTACTGACATATGCTACTTTTGGCGGGATACACATAAATATGCATAATCAGTGTGGGAGGCGCAGTAATGATATGACTAGTGACTGAGAAGGAACCTAGGTCTTAAATCACCCTCGTAGTCCACGGAGACATATCTACTGTGTATTCTTCGCAAATGTATGAGGTCATTGATAACCTTGAGACTACCCAATAATCTGACCACTTGTTGCTTCAGCTGCAATAAAAGTTGATTACATAGCTGCACATAATTTATCATTTTGTGACAGCTCCTTGGTTTGATAAATGAATTCTTATGAAAGAGGTTCCTTTTTAAATATTATATGGTCTATCGGAGTTGGATCTCATTATGCCATCTCTGAATGAGTTTGAAACCTTATTTTGTAATAAAGAACTAGTACTGTCATATTTTGTCATGGTTTTTAGGAAAGACGTTGGAAAAAACAAACAAACAAACCAGAGTAAATAATCTATTACATTGGCATAGTTGAAGTAATATACATAATGTTTGGAGTTTGATTTATTGGGATTTATTAGAGTGTAAAATGTCTTCAAATTCTGATTTCGCGTTAGTACATAGTCTCTTAACCCGCTGGCTTAGTACATGTAAACAAACTTATTTACAGTGTATCGGGTAAAAAACAACGAGAAACATATTATTTATCAGAATGAGGTTTTGAAGAGATTGTAATAATTTTAACAGTTGAATTTATCAATCGATCTAAGATAGACCAGAATTGAAAATCTGGAAGCACTGGACGGTCGTTTTCCCATAGTATTGGACTTCTCAGAAGTGTGCAAACACGATCCCACACACAGGAGATGAACACGGGACCTTCGGTCTCGCGCGTGAGTGCTTAACCTCTAAACAACTGAGCCAGCATCCAGCGGTGTTAACGTCTAACTAGGACGAAAGGACCGTTCAGTGCATCCAGGTTTTCAATGGTGGTCTATCTTTGAGCGACTCATGAATGCAAACGTTAAAACATATTGTTTATCCTAGGTATTTTGTGGTGAATGAAGATAAAAACATCTATTTTACTTGTTTAATTCATGTAAATCTAAGAAGCGAAAGGTCCGATTAAATTTGTGCTCCATTTAAAATCTAATATTTAGGTTTTTTATTGTAACAAATTATTCATGTGAACTGGTTGGTTGATTAGTTGCATTACCAATACTAATGATTGAATTTTTACCCTCTTCACGTCAATTAATGAAATTAGACGTACGCGAATCAGCATTATTAGTATTATTTTACGGTGATCGTTGTTAACTCTTCAATATTACTTAATAACACCTGTTACCACCTGTGAAGGAGCATAGGCCGAACACCAGCTTTCTCCATACAACTAGGTCATGCACAATCATTTTGAGTTCTTCCCAGTTCCTATTCATCCTTCTCATTTCTCCTTACAATTATCGATGCAGTGTGTTGTTCAGCCTTCCTCTTTCCCGTTTCCCTTCAGGATTCCGAATTAGTGCTTGCCTCGTGATACAATTTGGTGATTTCCTCAATGTATGTACCATCCACCACTTCCAACAGCTCCTCCCTAATTTCCACTTCACACAAAAACTGCTTTGTTCTCTACCACAGTACACTGTGTTGCTCATGGTATCCGGTCAACAGACATTGAGTATCTTGTGTAGACAATTGTTTATAAATACTTGTACTAATTCCATGATGATTGTGGTGGTTCTCGAAGTTTCATCTGCATACAGTAGAAGTGTGTTGGTGTTCGTATTGAAGATTGTGATTTTGATGTTGGCTTGCATACAGTTGATTTGAGTTCCATATATTATTCGACAGTATGAATGTTGTCCTTACTGTGCCAATCCTACCTAGGTAGGTAGGTAGATGAGTAGTTGAGAGATCGCAACCGATCCAGATTTTCTGCATGAATTGTGATTGTGTTTGTGCTTTCGTTGTTGTAATTGAGTGTCTTTGTTTTTCTGTTGTGTATGTTGATGCCTATTGATGTAGAGACTGCAGCTATATTGTTTGTCTTGATCTGCATTTATTTGTTTGTATGTGATAGAAGAGCCAGTTTATCTGTGAAGTCCAACTTGTCTAGTTGCATATAACCTGGATATCAATATCAATGGAAAGAGGAAAATCTCATTAAGATCCCAAACAATGACCTTAGTAAATGTAACAACTACAGAGGGATCAGACTACTGTTGGTTTCAGACAGAGTTTTCAACAGGATGTTGCTATGCCGAATGAAATATACGGTAGTTTCATACATCGGAAACTAACAATATGGCTTTCGTATGAATCAATCAGATATCAACCAAATTGAGACCACGAGAATCATTGTTGAATGATCGAATCAACGAGATGATATCCCAACTGATGGTTTACGCTGTTTTTTATTCTTTCCTTGTTTCTTTCTTCACATCACTATACGTTATACCCAATACCTTCTTGAACTCTGGAGGTCTTCATAATCCAGTCATCAGTTAACAAAGTGAAAAAAAGGAGAGTAGGCGGAGTTGTGTGGCAACGTTTTGTTGTATCTGTCAGCTACCGTCCATAGACGACTCCACAATTCAATCCTCGTGGGGGTGCGTGTACATAAATATAACAGAAGACATAGGAATGACCATAGGAATATACATCAAAAAACCTAAGCTTTGTATACAGGAAAAAATTATTCAGTCTTAAATTCTACCCTGGCTTTCTACTTAGATACTAATACTCATTTTAAGACCTTTCTTTCTCTTCTCTTGGAAAGTTCCGAACTTCTATCTTGTTAACATTTGGACTTTGATTCTAATCTTACGTAACCTGTTTACCAAACTTATTTACGTTTTACTGCACCTGTCCTTCTAATTAGTCATCACTAATTTCACAGATAACGAAAACATTTATATTTACATCCAATTTTAATTCCTGCTTCTACTCTTATGTAACTACTTGTAATAAATCGACTTACCGCCACCTATTAGGGTATCGACTTTCCACTCACTAATAATGCATGTGTATATAAATACATCTTCACTCAACTTGTTTTAGTGGGAATATTTAATGAATATGAAAAGTAACTGGATAAAATATTACGTCTTGTAAGAACAGTTGACTGGGAGATTTACACTCACAGAACTTTATTTCTGGTGTTGGACCATGTGTTCCTTGAAGCTGGATTTATAAATAGTTGTGAAGTCATTGGTCTTTAGATAACCTGATATAAATGCAAGAGGGTATACATCTGTTTTTCGTATACTCAACTATGTAGAGTGATTTCGTTGTTCAACTTGTTTTATGGCATCGTGGGTTCCTTAAGGCATAACATGCACTTTATTATACGGAATTCATTTTATCTCCATTGACTCATACACTGTGAAACTATACTCATCGCAGCCCGTTGTTATTTTCTTAAAATTAACCTACACAGAAAGAAATTTGCTACAGATATATGAGTACTGAAAAAGTAACAAGAAATTGAACCAGGTAACTTGACGCAAATTGAGAAATGTACCTGTTGTACAGTCATTTGTATAATGAGGTTTTCAATGACATATGGGCTAAATACACAGCTGAAGGAATAGTCATGATAAAATGTACCGAATACTTTAATACATTTATAGACATCAATGAAGTTTAGGGAACCGTGTATTGCTGGTAGTGCCATTCTACGCATAAGAGAGATAGTGAAGGCTTGTGTTCGGTTAAGGGCAGAATATGTGGTTAGTTGATCAGCTGGCTAGTTGATGGTGATTTGACCAAAGATAGAGAGAGAAGATGGAAAGCCAGAACTTAATTTGATCATATCGAGAAAGATCGATAAATTTATGATCAAATATTGTTTATGTCGACAAATAATTAATAACCCCAAAACAAAACAGAATTTCACCAAAACAGTTAGAAATTCTGTAAGATGACTAAAAGATAAAATAATTATTAACAAAACCTTTGGTCATTAGTTTGAGATTTAACTTTAAGGAGTGGAACTAGTTTTACAACCTATCTATATATTAGTTAAGTTTACGCGCCAGTTTGACTACTTTTCACAAGCACTCTGTAGTGGTACTGTGCTGTCATGACTACATCGTGGGTTTTACAGTGCAAGGACTTATCTAACACTGATTTGGTTCATATCGCCAAACTTGCTGAGCAGGCTGAACGATATGATGACATGGCGGCAGCTATGAAGCGGTATACCGAGGCTTCGGGGAATTTAGGGAACGAAGAACGGAATTTACTATCGGTGGCATATAAAAATGTTGTGGGTGCTAGAAGATCAGCATGGAGAGTGATACATGGAAGTGAAATGAAAGCGGTAAATGACTGTACCAAGAAACAAATAGCAGAAGAGTACCGTATTAAAATGGAAAAGGAGTTGAACACTATCTGTAATCAAGTTTTGGTAAGTTGGACGCGAAGTGGTAACGATGTTTTTAGGCTCTACTTGAGGATTATCTGCTTCCAAATGCAAGTCCCGATGACAGCAAAGTTTTCTTTCTGAAAATGCAAGGTGACTATTACCGGTATCTCGCTGAGGTTGCCACTGATGATGCTCGAACAGAAGTGGTACAGAAATCATTGGATGCCTACACGAAAGCTACTACGGCTGCTGAAAATTTGCCTACCACTCATCCTATCCGTCTTGGTTTAGCTCTTAACTTCTCTGTGTTTTATTACGAAATACAAAATAATTCTGCTAAGGCGTGCGATTTAGCTAAATGCGCCTTCGATTCAGCAATAGCAGAACTAGATCAGCTTCAAGATGATTCCTACAAAGACAGCACACTAATTATGCAGCTTCTAAGAGACAATTTGACGGTAAGATTTCTATTAGTTTTTCTAATATGTCTAATTAGTTGTGGGCCAGTGACCAAACAGCTGAGGGAGATGTTGAAAATGACGGCTAAACTCTGTTCTGTAATATTTATTATAGCCCTCATGTCATACAAGATCTATGTCAATTTTCTGATTGTTTACTGTTATTTTGTACTTACTGATGGAAGTTACGGTTCTTTGGTGTGAGTTTCCCATGAGTTATTATGTAAAACCGTGTACCACAGTTTACTGATGACATTAAGGGTTGCACAGATTGATCCGTTACAAGTCAGTGTTAAGAGTATCGTAAAACATAAAGCTTGAGGCAGGCTATTCTTGAGTTGGTTGGATGTTCGAGAATTATGAGTAAAATAAAGGATAGGAAGCTACTTAGAACTAACAGGTTTCCACTACTTCCCTTCTCCGTGGTTTTAGCATGTGCATGTCAATTCGTGGACTTATTTATAATGAACACCGGATTCTGTTGCGTGTAGATTTCTGGTTTGATTTTCTTAGCTGGTTTGCATGACCCTACAGATAGCCTTAAGGTCTACTATCTGAGAGGTCCTGACTACAGTTGACTGTGTGTTCGGGACAGGACCAGTATCGACCTCACACGTTGTTTTAGAGAACCTGCTAAGGTAACACACGGATTTAGGCGTTTATGTATAGAGTGCACCTTGTGCTATCAAGATAACTTGAGGTAATAAATTGCGTGCATTGTGTTGACATAAAGAGACAGTTTATCATTAAGCACCTTCGTGTCAGTTTAAGAACCTCACAGAGTAGGTTTTTCTGGTTTCGGACGTTGTCTGTTGTGGAAGTAGCCTTGAAGAAAGGCAGGACGGTCATTGACATCTACGCTGGGCGACTTGGGGTCCGGTTGATTGTCGTATCCAGTGGTCAGAAACTTTAACGACAGTTAAAAGTCGTTTGCAGTGTTACGCTTGAATTCACATTATTCTATTCTAAGTTCTAAGCTTCTGAATTTTCCATACATTCTTTCCAGCATAAATTTTCTTGGGTCGTGCCTTAGATGTCTAGTCTGTTATTACTTTTAATACTGCTACTAAATCTACTTTCGGATTTGCCCTAACAACTCATGCTTTGCTAAAGGGTTATGGTACTGATGTACATACGTACCAGAGTCTTTTGCGCTTGGGTGACAGACATCCTAGTTGGTTAGGACATTCGTGTCCTAGAAATTCTTATTACAATATTACCTATAAACTCGTTTTTCCCAATGCACCTGAAACGATGACCATTCTAACTGAGTATTCGCCGGGCTCCCTTTAACTCATCATTAGTGTTGCTAGTGCAAATTCATTCAACGGTAAGAGTTGAACGTAGAATAAGTTTGTTTTCTGATTCATAGCCACCTAACTCTAAGAATGCTTTTGTAATGCCACGATGGATAGCTGTGTGGTGGTAAACTGAAATTCGATCGATTTCCAGGAGTCTTGGTGTGTGTTGAGGAGTATCTTTTGCGTCTTGTGGTTGGTGACAGGTCTGGTGTCCGGGGGCTTATATTAATGGCTTCGAATGGTCCTAGGGTCGTTTCTAGTGGCACAGTTACATTTGCTCTCTATCTTCACTTCGAACCCGAGTTCTCTGTATCAATTTTTCCTGTTTCTTGCCTAATACTGGGACTGTTACTACCCCTACTACTCTGGAATTTGTCTCGATAATTTTATCTGGCTGTGCTAACCTGGTTTGTTAACACTAAGTGTTGGAAAAGGGTGTCAGATTGCAAATAGCTGATTAGTTGACGTAAATGACCTACTTGTAGCCAGCGAAACCGAAGCAACATCTAAGTTACCTGGAGCACTAAATGATTGAATGAGTACAGATTTCCCATGAATTAATAAGTGAGTTTAGGACGGTCCATCGGTTTTTATATAAGTTACTAAAGAACCTAGATGACGTACAGAGTACCAACGACTACTTGCTATTTGACCTGTCCGAAAGCTACATGGTTTCTTGGGAGTCGTCCCCAACTTTACTATTCTACAGCATTGATGGGTTACTTACAAAACTGATCACGAACAAATCGTCCTTCACCTGAAATCAAGCAGTTATTCGAAGCTATAAAAGATGAGCTAAACACATAAGCAGTACTGACCAGACGCCTTCAGCCATACTAAACGAAGAGAATAAAAAATTGGAAGCACTGACCGCTCCAAAACACTACACTGCATGCAAACGGCGACTATTGTCGTTCTACTTAGATGTGAAACACTCAATAGATTTTAGGAGAAAATAGCTTGACAGTACTTACTGCCTGGGAATTGTTATCGGAGGGTTCTGTAAAGATTCATGATAAGTATGGTTCGCGCGAAACGCAGCTTGAGCTCATATCACAATTCTTAATAAAAGGTATGTAGACGGTGATAACAACCACATTAGGCTCACCAATTTTGATAGCCCATCTGACTCAATAATATGTTTGTCCGATACATATGTATCACGGATTAATCTCCTACATAATCTAGGACTTATCAGGTATTCACAACGCGGGATTGAAAGTCAGATGCGAAATGTTGGGATTATCATGTAGATCACTAATATAGATGATCTGAGCTGAATGACTGGGTGCGTACTGAAGTAAGGAGGGAGTAGTGTGATGAAACGGGTAACTTCGAAATTGCACCTAACGTGGATTGCCGTTTCATCGTACCACGGTACTATGGCTGCTCTGAAGACCGTGTAACGCAAAGGACGTTATTAGAGGAGTATTTTAGAAAGAGTAGGTAGGGGAATAAAGTGCGACCATCACGGCATTGGCCAGTCCATTGCGTGTAATCAACTGATGCGTGTTATCTGTCTCTGGACTTGACGAGGCTCGGTGAACTTTTAGGCATTTAATAACACGACCGCCGGGTGATTTGGTAAGGGTCCAGTGACATTTCATTTGCTCTACACGTGTGTCAAACAAATGTATTGAGAGACCGAGAGAGTAAGTATTCGAACTGAGTTGGAAAATAAGCATCCCACCCAATTCACTATTTAAGCTTATGCCTTAGTGTATATAGTCCGAGTAGACAAACAATGAATAAAATAAGGAAGTAAGTGCAGGCAAACTGACTAATTCCACACAAATTGGACGATATGGTCAATTGGATTGATGTGGACACAAATTTTATATGTATTAAAGGTCAAACTTGCTCGTGAGGATCATGAGATTATCGGAAGGATAGTGATGACTTGCTTATTACGTGCTCTATGGTTTTATTTTCATTCAAACAGTGGTATATGTTGATATACGCGAATCAGTATAGTCTAAACGAAGCGAAATCCTGTGTTCGTTGTGATTTCTAACTGACTTGTCTGTGGGGTTGGAGAAGCGTTGATGTTTAGTGTTTATCGTATGGATTAACGTTCAGGCGTAATACGACACATCGTTCAACGGATAGCTGTAGTCGAGTTACCTTAGATTCGGGAGTTATACGGCTAGCTCCTTGAATGAAAATCGATTTGACGTTAGTAACAAAAACAAAAACCCTCTCTGGGGCTTCTGCCGGTCTCAATCCCGGATGAGGGGGAGGGCTGTCCATGGGATAGCGTCCTCATCTTGTAGAAAACTAAAACGCTAACCAGAAGAAATAATGCAAATCATTTAAGCTCTACTCTGGGAGTTAGGAGGTCTTCATTTAGAAGGGTTCTGACGTCCCTTCATGAAAGCCGAATTCCTCCGGAAGTCAGTAGGCTAATGTCCTGACATCCGGAGCAATCATTAATTTAAGTACATGTAATGTTCATACAAGGTGCGAGACCACGAAAGTCATCCAAGTTGCTGCAGAGATGAAAAGATACAACATGGAGCTGCTTGGAATCAGTGAAACATATTGGACGCAGGTTGGACAACAAAAACTAGATTATGGAGAGCTGCTGATATACTCAGGCCATGAAAAATAAAATGCTCCACTTACACAAGGAGTTGCACTGATGCTATCCAAACAGGCGCAAAAATCACTTACAGGATGGGAATGTCATGGATACAGGAGCATCAAAGCCTCCAAAACAAAGAAAGAGGGAATTAAATTGAACGTCATCCAATGCTATGCGCGTACCAACGATCACAATGAAGACGTTAAAGATCAATTCTAGGATAGGCTGCAGTCAATCGTTGAGAAATGCCCATTCTGATGGGAGACCTAAATGCCAAGAACCAAGAGAGGAGCTAATATAGCCTCAGATCGTCACTTTCTGGTCACCAAGATGAAGCTGAAACTGGACAACGGGCGGACGACATCACAAAAGTTTAGTACGGCCTTTCTTTTGGGACATTGACAGACTCAAAAAATTCAAGATAGCCCTAAGCAATAGGTTCCAGGCCTTTCACGGGCTGCTCAATGGAGAGGGAACTACTATGGAGAACAACTGGGAGGCAATCAATTCAACATGTCATGAGGTTCTGGGCAACAAGGAATGGATTACTGTTGATACACTGGATAAGATTCAAGAAATAAGGAACAAGAAGTCATCAATCAATACTAGCCGAACAAGAGCAGAAAAAGCCAAGGCACAAGCTGAATACACGGAAATAAACAAACAATTGAAGAGGAACATATGTGGAAGATTTAACAATGACGGCGGAAAAGGCTGCAAGAGAAGGAAACATGAGACAATTGTATGACACGACAAAGAAACTCTCTGGAAATCGCCGCGAACCAGAACGACCAGTGAAAAGCAAGGAAGGCGAGGTAATCACCAACATTGAAGAACAACAAAACAGGTGGGTAGAACACTTCAAAGAACTCTTGAATCGACCAGCTCCACTGAACCCACCCAACATCGAAGCAGCACCCACGGACCTCCCAATCAATGTTGGCCCACCAACAATTGAAGAAATCAGCATGGCCATCAGACAAATCAAGAGTGGCAAAGCAGCAGGACCGGACAACATCCCAGCAGAGGCACTAAAAGCAGACGTAGCGGCAACTGCAAGGATACTCCACATTCTCTTCAGCAAAATTTGGGATGAGGAGCAAGTACCAACAGACTGGAAAGAAGGACTCCTGATCAAAATACCGAAGAAAGGCGATCTCAGCAAGTGTGATAACTACAGGGGCATCACTCTTCTCTCAATACCGGGAAAAGTCTTCAACAGGGTATTGTTAAACAGGATGAAGGACTGCGTAGACGCCCAACTTCGTGACCAACAGGCAGGATTCCGTAAGGATAGATCGTGTACAGACCAAATCGCAACTCTACGGATCATTGTGGAACAATCAATTGAATGGAATTCATCACTCTACATCAACTTCATTGACTACGAAAAGGCATTTGATAGCGTGGACAGAACAACACTATGGAAGCTTTTTCGACACTACGGCGTGCCTCAGAAGATAGTTAATATCATACGGAATTCCTATGGTGGATTAAACTGCGAAATCGTGCATGGAGGACAGTTGACGAAGTCGTTCGAAGTAAAGACCGGTGTCATGCAAGGTTGCTTACTCTCATTCTTTCTCTTTCTCCTGGTGATCGACTGGATCACGAAGACGTCAACGTCTGAAGGGAAGCACGGGATACAATGGACATCTAGGATGCAGCTGGACGATCTAAACTTTGCATGTGATTTAGCTCTTCTATCGCAATCGCAACAACAAATGCAGGAGAAGATGAATAGTGTGGCAGCAGCAGTAGGTCTCAATATACACAAAGGGAAAAGCAGGATTCTCCGATACAACACAGCATGCACTAATCGAATGACAATTGACGGAGAAGATTTGGAAGATGTAAAAACCTTTACATATTTGGGCAGCATCATTGATGAACAGGGTGGATCTGATGCAGATGTGAAGGCGCGGATCGGCAAAGCAAGAGCAGTATATTTACAACTGAGGAACATCTGGAGCTCAAAGCAACTGTCAACCAACACCAAGGTCAGGATTTTCAATACAAATGTCAAGACAGTTCTACTGTATGGGGTAGAAACTTGGAGAACTGTGAAAGCCGTCATCCAGAAAATACAGGTGTTTATTAAAAGTTGTCTACGCAAAATACTTCGGATCCGTTGGCCGGACACTATTATCAACAACCAACTGTGGGAGAGAACAAACCAGATTTCAGCGGAGGAAGAAATCAGGAAGAAGCGATGGAAGTGGATAGGGCACATTGAGGAAAGCACCCAACTGCGTCACAAGACAAGACCTCAGAATCCTCAAGGCCAAAGAGAAAGAGGAAGAACAAAGAACACATTACGCCGAGAAATGGAGACAGACACGAAAAGAGTGAACAGCAATTGGATAGATCTAGAAAGGAGTGCCCAGGACAGACTGGGTTGGAGAATGATGGTCGACAGCCTATGCTCCATTGGGGGTAACAGGCCTAAGTAAGTAACAAAGGCAAGATCTTTATTGAGATAACGAGGATTTTTAAATGGTAAATATGGAAATGTAACTTAAAAAGCATTATGTATGGCTTGCGAAACGTCTCATTGTCAAGCACATTGAAATGCAACCAATGTTAAATGCAAAACTGTTTATATGTATCATTACCAAGGTTTGATTAGATAATTTCGAATAAATTGAGCATTGGGTAGATTGTTATAAATAAGTAATATGTTTGTAATATCCCAATGAGTAGAAAATTAGATTTTCTACTCATTGGGATATTGCGAAACTGTTTAGTTGAAATATTACTATCATTTTACTTTCATATACTTTATTCCGAAAAATAAAATTTGGATGTCGTATGAGATTTCTTTTACGTAGAGATTTATATCATTTGTCAATATAAGCCATTGTCATAATTTTCCCTGACTGACTTATTGATCGGAAAACTATCCTCATTCGGTCAGTGTTTAAATAACATATTTTCTATTGCTGTGATTCCTATAACGTGTTTGTAGGTATTTTAGTTACTTTCGATGTTAGTCTGCAATCTACGGAAACAAATGTTTATGACCTTTGGAGCATACAACAAGAAAAATAAAGTTAATGAAGAGACTAGCTTAGGTTATCAGCAACTTTCTTAATACTCAGTAAATTTGTACCTGGAACTATTTAAGTTGAACTTTCACGAAAGATTTTATTTCACTTGTCTGAAGTTGTCCACAACTTCCTTGTGTAACGGTAGGCTGGATGGAAGGACATAAATTTATCAAAGGTTAGGACTTGGAATGAAATGTTTGTTAAAGATTACATTCATATTCAGTATTCACCTACTAAACGAACTGGGAAATGGTCAAAGTGTCGGGAATAACGTTCACATTATAACCGTTGACTATAACCAACTCATCAAAGAAATCTAGTAAACTGTCCTTACATGCAATAACATATCACAAGGGTACTGAGCATAAACTACCTCGCAAGTTGGAAAATTTAAAATCTTGAATAAATATAAACTTTGATTTATGTTTTGGTAAAGAAAAAAGAAAATAAACATTTCACAAAACATACTGAACAGATTTCGACTGAAATATCATATAATGTATAGGATTTTATGGTAAAATTAGTATCCACTCTGTTTGCATCCAAAACGAAAAAGATACTATACTTCCCAGTCGTTAATTTTCTTGTAGTCGTTTGCATCATAGAAATTCCCAATAATTAACTTTAACTCAGCTAATCTCCTCTAGTATAGTGATGGTATTTATAGTTGGAGTCTGTAGTAGAAATCCTTTGTTTACAGTTCATTAAAAATAATTTGGCTTTTAGGTTGTTCGACATTCAGTGTTGATATTTCGACCGATTAATGGATGAAATGGCGAACTTTCCAGAAGCCATAAATAAAAGTGAACTGTTTGTTATGTAGTGAATCTACTTCTTCTGGTGCAAAGTCGAAGCGAAAATAACAGCACTTTTTCTTCGTAAGAAAACATGACTATAGCTGCTTATAGGGTTCATGTCAGAATTATATGCCACTGTGGTGGATATATAATGGAATTCTTACGTGGTGAAGGGCTTTTTTATATTACTGATATATACTTTCTGTTAACTTAGATTCTGTGTTTGTTTTTCAAAACTAAATGTGAATATAGATTAATTTGAAATTAGTTCACTTCTCATACTTGCATCATTTGAATAGTGATTGCGAATTTGAAATCATTAGATAATTGTTTGGTTCTGGATAAAGACTTCTTTCAAGTATACACTAATAACGATATCTGGGATCGTAAATACCACCTTTGGGTTTTGTGAGAGGGATGATATCTCTAGACCATTAAGTTGGTGTTTAAAAAGAGGGTTTTGAGGTTGTTAGTAGCGAATAGAAAGATTGCTTAAAGGCTGAAACCCGTGATATTCGTGGTAATTTAAACTTTCCATCTTGTAGGCATGTGGTTACCAGTCAAAGATCACTAGATATTTGATTCATTCTAGTTGAGTTATCTTTGGTTACAAGCCTCAAAATTCATATACCAGTAAAGTTGTTTATATAGGTCGTTGATTGTAATACTTGAGTGCATCTCTAAAAGTGATTTTCGAAAAAGTAGTGTAGATTATGTACCATTTCTATTTCCAAGGTTTATTTGAGACTTTGCTTTTGGAATAATTTACAATATTTACTGATAGAGAAGACTTGTACTTAGGATGGATGGGTTTAATGGACTAGGTGCAAATTAATGTATCATAATTCCAAAATTAAATCTCTGATCATGTAGTCTAAACAATTGAGAATCATTTTATTGAGTGGTGATAAACCATGAGTAAAGCTGTAATACATCATTATGTTGATGTCTGATTTGCTTCCATACAATCAGTAATTTTTGCAAAAACAGAGATTAACACTGACGAAGTTTTGTCGAATCCGATTCAGAATACATTCTTCATGAATATAAATCTGTTGATTTATACTTGATAGTTCACTTTTCTTATTTTGAGGATATAAATACTTCCATTCATTTAGGTTGCAGTAAATACATATTGTAAATATGGATTGCAACATACATCGTCTGAGTAATAAGAGATTATCGTTTGATAAATGATACAAATAACAAGACAATAAGGTGGGGAGAATTATCTATGTAAACCATCAGTAATCACACTGTACATTTTGCAAATAGTTCCTCTCCAACAGCTTATAGTAAACCTTATTTAAGAGGTGTATATTCACTTGTACGCAGTAAGCTTAGTGGATATGAAGTGAAAAGCTGATTTGTGATTCTACAGTTAGACTTTACCAATGTTTGGTTTATACGACACATTTGAAACAATCACACAGTTGATGATGATGATGATCTTCACTGAATTAAAACCGCACTTCTTAGTATCAGTCGGTCCGTCGTTATTTTCGAACGATTTCTATTCTAACTGATGTCAGTCACATTCAATTGAGCAAGTGTATTGACCAATGGCAAAATGCCCATATTACTTGGATCCTGTGAACTGAGTTACGAAACATGGTCACTGGTGAAAGTGGACTCAAATCTCAACATAATTTAGCTGACATTTGTCCAAAATTATAACGAACACCTCTGTAGGAACATTGGATCGTGTAGCCGAAATCGAATGATAAAACTGTGGCTCATTTCCTCACATTCATCCGATGCCTAAAAATTATTAAAACTTTGACGTTCCCAGATAATTGTCTTTCATTTCTGCATACAACTCTCAAAGAACTAATATTAAACCATTTAAGGTGCACAAGTTTCGAATCCCATGGAAGAGCTAATTTCAATAAAATTATTCGCTGGGACAAGCAGAAGTTTAAGGAATTTATCTTTCAATTGTAGAAAAAGCCGTCAAGTCTAATTTTAGTGATCAACTTCATGTGTTGCCGCATGGTCGATCGATCGCAATGATTACCATACTAAATCTGGAAAGAGAGCATATACAAATGCCGAAGTGTTCCTTTCATGATGCTGGGAGTGCGTTTATTAACTATGAGGCAGTGCATTAGATTGCTTTTTCGACACTATGGTGTACCTGAGAAAATCATCAGCATCTTATGGAACTCATGAGACGTACTGCACTGAAATGTGATGCATGGCGGACAGCTAACAGATTCATTCCAAGTGAAGACCTATGTCAGATAAGTCAGCCTACACTCACCTCTTCTCTTTCTCATTCTGGTGGTCGAATGGGTTATGAAGACCACGACATCTGAGGGGATGCACTAACTACAATGGACAGGAGGCAATGTTATTAAAATTATCACCGTGAAAGTCTTTATAAAATACACCTGTTACTTAAATAGTAAAATAAATCTTGTGTTAATATTGTACTGTTAATCATAGGTTGTAGAATTCTGTATTTGCGTCATGTTTTATTTTGGAACTCGAAACAATCGTATGCAAGTCAACATCAAAATCACAATCTTCAATACGAACGTCAACACACTTCTACTACATGCAGATGAAACTTCGAGAACTACCACAATCATCATGGAATTAGTACAAGTATTTATAAACAATTGTCTACACAAGATACTCAATGTCTGTTGACCGGATACTATGAGCAACACAGTGTACTGTGGTAGAGAACAAATCAGTTTTTGTGTGAAGTGGAACTTAGGAAAAGACAAATCAAATCAAACCTTGGTAATGATACCTATTAGGAAAAGACGTTGAAAGTGGATAGGACAAATCTTCATATTTATAGAATTACAGATAGCTTCGGGCTTCTGAAAAGTCTTAAAGCCCTTCTAAACATAGTAGCAGAATAGGTAATCATACAATCAGAAATGTGACATTTTACTTTCTAGATCCTTCTGAGAAGCTTCTATTGAATGCTGATTAAAAAACTATGTGGGAGTCCTCAGCAGTGCAAATACACGACCACGCCTCGAGAGATTTGAACCCAGGACCTATCGGCCTTGCGCCCGAGCACTTAACAACTAGACCACTGAGCCGGCATTCAACGGTGTTAATGTCTAACTTCAACCGATCCTCGAAATTGAGCGACATATCCACCAATGTCTTCACTGAGTTACTATCTCACAACAGACCCGGTTGAATTCCACTGGTCACTACTTCTCACTAGAACTCCAGGAAATACCTCTTGAAGCCAGTATCTAGTGAGGAGTTCCACAACAGGACGAAACGGCCTTGCAATGCTTCTAGGTTTTCCATGGTGGTCTAGCTTCAATCGACTCATGATCTCAACCATTGAAATTATTTTTTTTATTTAGGTATACTATTTTTAACGTTTTAAGTAGTTCAAATAGTAATTTCATATTTTAATGGTTTGCTCATTGTAAAAATCTGACGAATTCGCAAAATATGTTTTAAACATTTTATTCTCATTTTCCATTTTCAAGAGTAAAATTATCACGTTTTGGAAGCAATAGTGATGACTGATAGTACGATAATTTTTAGAAAGTGTTGAAGACACTTAGATTACTGACAATTTATGTTTTCCCAATAATCCATACATTGTCAGACATTGAGCTCATCATTTGACTGTACCCCAATTGTACACAATATACTGACATGTGAATCACAGCGCTGACTTATGAAAGTAATAAACTTGTGCTCCTTATCTACAATGAGGATGTGGAGATTGTCAATTACATTCATGTTCTCAAAGGCATAACACGTACAACAAGTTTTATTGATAAATAAAATACTATTTGTGTACTTTGTTTTTGGATGTTACATCACCGTGAAATGAAATGATAAAGAGCTATTACTCGATACAACTACACAGGAGTTAAAGTTTTCTGTTAGGGTTACCATAAACTGCACCATATCAGTTAATATATTTGGTAGGATAGGATCAACCTATCCATTTCAGAACAATCTCAGTGAAAATTAGTCGGCATACATACTATGAAATTTTATTTCCACGTAAACAATCTACATTTTTAAAACCAGCCAAGTCAATCAGTCAGAATCATCGGAAAAGCGAATCGAGATCAACTTGAGACAAACGAGTATCAGTAGGTAGGAAGGTGGAGCGAATTCCTTCTACCAAAGTGAACTATTCTCTATCATAAAATAAGGAGACAACCTGTTAGTTAATCAGCTTTTACCACTTGCTAATATACGCTTATTTAATAGAATAAATCTAAGAACACAATGGATGGTAGTAGAGCAACAACTCGAGCATGCTTAGCCATTTTGAAGGAATCTAACGCGTTGTTGTAGTATAAAAGACTACACCACCCAAATAACAGTTATATTAATGACTTAAAAGATGCCAATTATCAAGTAAAATAAGACTGATAAGAGGAAAAATTTCCATCTCGACAATGTTATTTGCGAGAGTTCTATAACTGTATTTACAGTTGTTTTTACCTGTAATAGTTTATGATAAAACAGAGGATTGTTGTTGGCTCAGCAGTATCTTTCAATGAAGGTTTGCTTGTAAGTTAGGATTGGGCTCTACAAGCCTTTATCAGTGCAAAATTCATTTCTGAACGCTCACCTATAAAGGAAATATTCATTTTATCCTGTGATTGAGTCATGCTATTTCTGGTAAAA